ATAGTTTTACCACACCTTTACTACTTTAAAGGTAGTACTTTTAAAACACTATTCTTATTCGAGTACAATTTCTGGCTGTTTCCCTCGAGTTACATCATTAAATGATGAATAAATGTGTTGTAATGCTCCAGACACATACCGTACTCCAGATGTCTGTAAAGAAGCTTCATAGTTGAGCTTGATGTCTGATTTGTAGGTCAAGGGAAAATGCAGTAAACTCTTTTAATGGAAGTTTTAAGTCTCTGTTTTAACATGTTTACACTTCCTACAGTAAGTATTAATTTAAAGGATTTTATACTTAAATGCAATTCCATCCTAGCCTTACAATACTACGTTTTAATGGATGTGTAGATCATCTGCAGATAACTAGATTTCAGTTAGTTTTCTCTTATTTATTTGTACCTATGTAGACTATAGTGAAAAAAATACTCAAGTTCACAAGAAAATTCATCAAAATGTCTAAAATAAATTTAATTAATTAGTAAGATCTGTGCATTAAATATTAGTTTTCTAGTTTTTAGTAGTACACAACAAGGAAACCTTAACTAATGTGTAACGGGTAAATACAGGTGCAGACTAATAAAATGATATCTTCCTTTATCTGAGACAAAGAGTTTAATCATGACTAGAGATGCATCTGCACATTGCTACAAAATGGTTTATAGGGACGAAAGGAGCAAAGGATTACAAAGGCTAGGGATGTCGCAGCTTTGATTGTTGACCCGATATGATAGCAGCACAAATCATATGTACTTTAATTACCTATTTTGTAATGCTGAATTATAAAAAAGGCTTAATCAATGGATATTACTAAATCAAAGACAGGTATAAAACAACAACAGGCATGAGAGCAACTGCCCATTTATTGTTGACCGATCAGAAGCCGATAGTTTCTATCAGCATGCCAATATCGGGCCGGTATCCGATATCAATATAGGATTGGGAAATCCCTGAAAAAGGCAACATGTGGGCATGAAACTGGGGAAACAACAGCAGTTCCCTGTCTACTTTAACACTTAATCTACAAGTTTGTTGGGTCTAGTGTGTTGAATGATCTATTCAGCACAAAGGTTTTCCATATGATTTTGGCCACAAATCTGTGCAACAGAGTCAGATTTCCCAGAACCCCTTTGTTTACATGCAGCCAAATGACTGGAAAGTCCAACTTCACCTTTATGGTGAAGTGATCCAATATTTTATTAATATTCTAGATAGAACAATGGCCCAAATTTTAAAAAAAGACATCCAAACTCAAACTTTTTTAGAGTGAAAAGGGCTCTGAATTTCACACAAGTAAAAAAACTCTAAACTTTCAAAGGATTAAAAGCAGTATTGCAATAAATAAACACCATTTAGGGATAAAAAAAAAAGATATTTAGCGTCGACCTAATGTAATGCACTGTTAGGGAGCTGTTGCATTTTAAACAATAGAAGCGATGAAACAAAATAGTATGTGATTAGTCACAGCTAGCTAGCTACATAGAGCAACAACCCTGATATTTGGAAACAGTTACAGCTGCACAGTGAAAAAAATGGAAGCAAAGTAAGAATGACAGTCAGTTAGACGTGTAAGTAAAATCCTACAAATCATCTACAGAGTGGATTGTGATCTTTACACATGTTAGGGCCTAAAATAACAGCTTTACCTGTCGTTTCTGACAGCTAACTGTAGGATACACTTGCCTTTTAGCAGCCACTTACCCTGATGTGGAAAGCTAACGCGACGTGAAGGGCGGTTTAAACGTCAAGTTCAGATGCACAACTGTACACATATTTAGCGGGATGCCTGTTTAATTAAAACATTTATTCGGAGACAGTTTAATCCGCTTCACACTCCCTTAAAACACCAAGCAGTTAGGAGGCACCTTGTGGCTGAACTAACAGGGTTCGCATCATTTTCGACGCAGCGTAACACGGAGAGGGCGGAGTCTGCGCATTGTTCAGTTCCTATTTAAACTACTAACTTGAAATTCAGGAAACTAACTCCTCCCAGCCCGTTGAATAAATTACTTACAGATGGTGGAAAAAGGAGTAAATCTTCCCCAGGACACGTGACGTGTCGCCCACATTTCATTGGTTTGGGAGGACACTGTGGATTTAAAGGAAAAGTCAGTCAGGAATAGTCCATATCATTATTTATACCTAGAACTAATACGTTCGGGGTGATTTAATGAATTTAGCGTTAATCAGATAAAAAAAATAAAAAAAATTATAATTAAAATGATTTTTTAATAAAATGATTAATAAAATAATTTAGATCAAAATAATAATTTATTTTGTCGCAAACACTGAGTCCGGGACCGGCCTTCTTCTTCTTCTTTTTTTTTCTCTTTCTTTCTAGTCAATGGGAGCTAAACACATCTGCAATCAACAAAAATTATTTAAGATTTCGAGAAGACCACCATTGATATTCGTGAGAGCTATGGTTAAACTGACAATGCTTAAACTTTAAACTAAACTTGATTGCATCCACTCATTGACTTGAAGGCAATCCCTCACACCAAGCATGCTCGTAGCAACAGTGGAGAGGAAAAACTCCCTTTAAACATGAAGAAACCTGCAGCAGAACCAGGCTCAGTGTGAGCGGCCATCTGCTGAGGCTGAGTGGGGTTCAAGAAGAAAGCAGTGTACAAAGAAAAAGAAGCAAAGAAAATAGTCAACTTTCAACCAGCTCCACTGGCAACCCCTTCCAGGAAACACACAGCCAGGCAGACAAGCTCCCAGCTAGTTCCCATGTCAGAGGATGAAAGCGAGCACATACAATTAGTCACTGTCAGAGAAACAGGACTACACTAAAAAAACAAGCCAAGCTCCAACATCCAGCAGCACAGCCGACAGCCCTCTTCAGGATGGTATCACAGCCAAACAGCAACAGACCAGATTAACTATATGATAAAAGGCAGAGAGAGCATAATGTTAGAGCTTGAACTAATAAATTCTACAGAATGGAAAAATCGAGATAGAATGAAACAGAATGATTGAAAAAGGTCCAATGTCCTCCAGCAGCCTAAGCCTATAACAGCATCCTTCAAGTTGTTTCTAAAATATGCATAAGAATAACAGTTTTCAGGTCCTAATGCATCTTGTCTAACAACAGTACCAAAGTCCTGAAACATGCTTTTAGTGTGTCTTCACATTCTATAACAAAGTTTCGACAGACTTTACATGAAAGGGTTTTGATACTGTTAAAACAATGCAAGTTGCATAACCTGCTTTGTATACCTATGGTGATGGTTTCAATTACAAAAGTGAGTAGTTAACAGACATTCCTGTGCTTAACAAATAACCAAAACCTGCCTCATCTTACAGATTAACAAGTTGCATAACAAGAAAATCATTGCTTTCAATTTATGAACTCAGCACATAATCTCACAATATACTTTTATCAACCAGCTTACATTATTACACATATTCAAAAAGTGTTTTTAAAATAAATATATAATGATGTTCATCCTTATTACAGAAGCACAGATCTGCTGCTGTGTTCAGAAATCTGAAATTAAACAATTTTTCCTCATGGCTCTTAAATTTACTATTGGAGCATTTGATTTCAGATAGTTATAAAAACTGTAAATAAACCTTGAAGTACAAAAAACAGTGGCAAGAAAATAAATAATGTAATTACATTCTATATAGGTATAAAACCTAGCTGATACTACGCTTTATATTTCTCAACCTTAAGTGTAACGCATCTCTGTTTTCAGACATTTGCTGCCACCTAGTGGAGCAATCCGGTAACAACTGTCGCTGTTCATGACATCCTTTATGGGGAAAGTTTTACATAATCTGAGATTTACAAAACATGCAAATGATCAATGGGAGTTTTTATAGTTCGAGCTGGAGGTGGAACATTAACAATTGCATATTTGTTCGGGAAAAAGAGAAAGACTTTTTTTCAACATCAGGGCTACCTATGCAAAGTCTGTGCTATGTATTTTATGCATTTCTAAATTTGCATTCGTTTGTTTTTAAACAATGTCCCAAGAGAATTGGAACAATGCAATTGAAAATCTATGTTGTCCGATTTGATCATTTTTTCAGCAATTTGCAAATGGATCCTAAAATGTTATCAAGATAAATATGGACTTAAACAATATTGTATTTTTTAATAATGAACAAACAGGGGGATTATTCTTTGTATTATGTTTTTGCCATTCAGCTGTAATCACAATGAAGCTATTAAATATGTAGAGTATTGCAAGAACATATAGAAGCTTTGCTGATGAAATATAAAACATTGAATAACATCATAGAGTTTTGAGTGAGTTATTTTTAAAGATTAATGTTTCTCACCCCTAGCCCTTTATAGGGCAAGTTACCATTTCTGATCACTTGCATACCCCTTACAAATGGAGTCCACTCTGTCTCTCAGTGAGATCTAGAAGCACAAGATCTATATCCAGCCATTCAGCAAAAATACTGCTACATGGCTGTACATCTTATTTTGGCATTTGACCAATAAGATGAGTCCTTGAATGATTTATTACTTACTGCAAATTATGATGAAAAAAAAGGTGAATAGTTCATAACTCAAGAGAAAAAGGTAAAAAGTTAATTAAAAAGTTAAAAAGTCAAGAAAAAAAAGGTAAAAAGTTAATTAGAATTCAAGGAAAAAAGTTAATTAAAGATTTTTAAAAAGGTAAAAAGCTAAAAAAAAAAAAAAAGTAAAAAAGTCAAGGAAAAAGTTAATCAAAAAGTTAAAAAGTAAAAAAAGCTAAAAAGCTAATTAAAAAGTCAAGGAAAAAGTTTCTTAAAAAGTTAAAAAGTAAAGAAAAAGGTAAAAAGCTAACTAAAAAGTTAAAAAGTCAAGGAAAAAGTAAATTAAAAAGTCAAAAAAGGTAAAAAGCTAATTTAAAAGTTAAAAAGTAAAGTTAAAAAGTCAATAAGACTAGTTAAAAATTATATATAGGTTTATAAACTAAAAAAATGTAAGTACCAGCATCGGCATTAATGCCCCTAAGGTTGTATTGTACCAAATAAAATTTGTTTCCCTCTATGAAGCACTTATTTTAGTTATTTTTTCTTAATATATTCAGGCAAGTTGGCGTTTCTTGTTATTAGACTGACTTTTATTTTTGCCATCAAAATGTTACAAAGGTAATAAGGTGTTGTCCTGGATTCCAAATAGTTAAGTCACTGAGGCTTCCGGGGTATAAAACATGGTCAGTTAAAGCGTGCTGCGAGCGCCCCCTTGTGGCAGCGGTTGCCGTGCTGGTTAAAAATGATGTGCACCCATAGGTGATTAAAACAACTCTCAAAGACTGAATAAATGTCCGCCTTATAAATAGTCGTGATGAAGCTTGAACTGTATTCCCGATAACATAGTGATCTGTGTGTTAATGTTGCTTTTAGTTTTTCCAGAATAAGCTCACCTGGACACGCCTATCTCCTCACCTGAGCTCAGGGAGGAACAGCGTCCGACGTGTTCCTTACATCCAGGTTTTATCATCGGTGACATTTAACAATATTCTACCATAAAGATGCTGAGGAATTTTATCTTCATCGCTTTTATCTTCCACCTCTGTGTTTCTCGGATAGAAAACAAAGGTAAGAAACACGCACACAGTTTTTCTCTTTTTTTAATCCGAAAATTAGAACTCGCTCTATTTCTGATCGGTGTATATCGCTCTTTTATTTCTGTTTTGGTTTTATTGACTGTTCAGCTTGTGAAACTGTGTAAATGGAAAGATTATCGTGTCGATTTTCTGTAAGATATTGACTAAATGTTGCCTAATTCATTTTGTTCCGGGTTTGTCTTTGCTTAGGGATTCCTTCCTTAAGAACTGGTTAGTATTTGCTATTCAAAGTGTTTCCAATGTCTCTGTGCTTCACCTGCAGAAGATCTCAGTGAGTTTACATCCAAACTGTCCAAGTTCTCCATTGTGAAACCACAGTTGATCAATAACAGGTGGACAAGGAGTGTTAATAGGACATCCCAAACCAAACAGGTAGATACCTGATGTCATATGTTTATTTTAAGTATTTATTTCATGATGTAACATTTGTTTTGTTTTACAATTTTAGACAAATGGAGACAAAGTATCATACACACTAAAGATCAACAACAGAGGACATATTCTTCATCTGGAAAAGAACAGGTATGCTCACCAACATTATAAGGAAGTAAAGATTTGTTTAATGTGTCATTAATCATTTTAATTATTTCATTAACCTAGTTTAACAAGTGAAAGTCAATTACTTTTTAAGAAACTGATTTATTTAAAGAATTCATTTAATATATTTAGACGGCTATGGCCTAAAACAAAAAAAACAAAACAAAAAAAGCTCTGCCTTCAGTCCATCTATAAGTAATCTGTACTCGGTCTCCACTGCTGGATCCGTCCCACATCCTTCATAAGGAAAATGAGAGCTTGCCTTCTGAAGGTTCAGATTCCCAAAAACCAAACTGAACCACTTTAAATACTCCTTTATACTGATCTGTACGTGGAGAAATGGAAAAGTGTGCAATAAGTTGGTGTTCATCTTGCTGTTTTGGTATTGTATATTATTTTTAATTCTTTAAGGGATGTGCTATGAGTGTGTATGTAGCCTCTGTTTCAGTCTGTAGCTGTTTTTTTTTGTTTTTTTTTATATATTCACTTGGGTCCATGACATATATCCTCTTGGGGACAATAAAGTATATTCTATTCTATTCTATTCTATTCTGAAGCTCATACTCTTTGTCTTCGGTTTACTATCACCAGGTTAGGTGGGCTGCAGTTTTAGCAAAGACTGCCAGACTTTCCTTTCCCCAGTTGCCCCCTCCAGCTCTGCTGTTGGAAGCCTGAGGCATTCTCTCTCCAGTCAGGAGACACAGTATTTTCAATGTGTCCTTATTAGTCCTCCTGTTTGGACATGTCTTAAACACCTCCTGAGAAAGGCGTCCAGTGGACATCTGAAAAGGATGTCTGAGCCACCTAAGCTGATTTCTCTCTATGTGAATTGGAAGAGGCGCTACTTCAAGCTTCTCTCGGATGACAGAGTTCTTCACCCGACGTTCACTTTGAGATTGAGTGACACACACAACTCACGTTTTGTGTTCAGTTGATAACATTTTTCATTGGATAACATCCGGTTCTACCGCACTTATTTCGGCATACAGCATGACAGACCGTTTTGTCTACTTCTAATACTAGTCTGTCCCATTCAGACTCATCTACTGGTATTTCTGATGCCAGGTCTGCAGGGTGCTTGGCAGAGTTTTATGAACTAACAAAGGAAGACAAAGGAAAAACTCACGTTTTTGTGCAAACTTAAAATTTTAAGCTACACATCGAGTTAAAGCAGCCATGCCCAAAGTCGTTCCTGTAGGAGGGCCACTGTTCTGCAAGATTTAGAGGTTTTCCTGCTCCAGCACAATTGATTTTCATTGATAGCTGATTAACAGCTTTTGCTGAGCTGTAATCATCAGACTCTGCTGTGCTAAAGCAGGGAAACCTCTAAAACCTGCAGGACAGCGGCCTTCGCGGACCGACTTTCGGCATGCCTTAGTTAAAACATCCAAGCTATCTTGTGAAATATCTGCTACTGAATGAGGAACATAAGAAATAATTTTGGATCCAGATCTTTTCAGCAGAACCTGAATGTTCCTTTATGTTTCTGAAGTTCTGTGTAATTTGGCTAAATAACATGCATCACTGAACATACAATATACCCTGACTGCATTGAGTATTTTGTATTACTTTCTATATTTTATGATCACACATTTAAAGGGTGAAATATGAGATTCTATTGTGTAAGATTGTGGTTTAACTTACCAGATGTAATTGAACTAGTTCATTATTAGGTTTTTGAACTTAGTTCAATTGTGAAAAAGTGAACTGTGAATGTGAGCTAGTTCTTTTTCATCTGTGTGAACTGAACTTTGAGCTCATTCTTTTTAAATTATAAACTGGCAAACATTGCCTGTGTGAATATCAGCTTCTTACCCTGTGCTAACATTCCTGTTTTAATAATAGGTAACATTTAATATAGGAAGACACTGAAATGTAGGTTTTGACCAGCGGTGAAGCAGAATGATATTGTTATCAAAACAAATAACTAAACACAATTAACTTTTTAAGTTTATTTCTTTATTAAGTTGTGTTTGGATGATATTCTAATAAATTAAAAGTCACTTATTATTGTTTATGAATACTTTTCAGAGACTTTTTACATCCAAATTTTGTCCAGTATTCACGGGATGCCAGAGGGAACTACAATACCTCGTATCCAAAACAAGTAAGTTTGCTGATTGCTCATTTATCTCTTTAAGGGCTGCGTTAAGATTCTGCGTTAACTTGTTTTTGCTTCGCTGTTTTCAGGTGCACTGCTACTACCATGGAAGTGTGGAAGGATATGAAGATTCAGTGGTTGCGCTCAGCACATGCAATGGGCTCAGGTTGCTTCTTGTTTTTTGTTTGGAACATTGTTCTTCAAAACCTTATGCCATGTTTAATAAATGAGCTTGTTATTGTCCAAAGCTAATTTATTCCAGTAACTCACTTCACAGAGTGAAACGCGTTATATAGATTAAACACAAAATATAATGTTTTCAAGCCTAAATATGATGGATTTTTGGGCCTACAGCTAATAAAAACCTTGGCATTTATGATTAGATTTTTACACCAAACGAATTGCTGATCATGTTTGATACAGAAATGCGAGCTTGATGAAAAGTTTGTTAAATTTTACAGCAAAGATTTTATTTTCAGAATGTGCTTTAATCTGAAAAATGAACCTCATCTGAATGTATATACTAATTTCTTTTATATATGGGAATAGATTAATTCTTTCACACCCAGTATCGGAAATTTGCAGATTTTTTTCCTCCTATATCCTAAAGCCGTACCTTCAGATTGAGCTCATTTTCTGTAGTCGTTTAAAGACTGAACTCTTCATCTATTGTGCTTCATCAGTCCCTTTTCTTAGTCTTAGGAGGAATTTGCACATAATGCTGTTGTTATCAAATAAAATAAACAAAAAAACTGTTCAAAAGCAGTCAACATCCAAAGACAAACTTTTGAACCACAACTTGGAATACTACTGATAAAGACTAAGTTGTAAGAACATTTGTAGGACTTTATAGTAGAGTCCTGCAACGGGTCGGGTACCCGCGAGTCCCCGACGGGTCACCCGTTAAAATGCTCTTTTGTGGGTGAAAAATACATAAATATAAATAAACGGGTACACGGGGTCGGGCGGATATTTTTTTAGTGCGGGCGGGTAGTTGGTGATTTTTATTTTTTTTTTAATGCGTATGTGTTGTTATGGACATCAGAAATGTTATATTAATCAGGCACTGGGGTCACCCTTGTTGTAGCTTGAAGCCCTGCCGGCAGTGTGGACTTCCCTCCAAAAAGGCCACAGTCGGTGCATACACGTCTGCTGCAGTGTTAATAGCGCTACAGCGTACTATAGCCTATTACTTGATGTGTTAACGGGTCGGGTTGCGGGTTAAATATCAACGGGTCGGGTCGGGTTCGGATTTGAATTGAAGACATCCGCGGGTGACGGGTCGGGTTCGGTAGTCATCCTAACGGGTTCGGGCGGGTGCGGGTTGGTAAAACCCGACCCGTGCAGGACTCTACTTTATAGTGCAGTGAAATATCAAAAACGCAAAACTATATGGTTAAAATATATATAGTGAGAAACTTATTATGCCTTTTGTAAAGGTTTAAACATTACAACAGCAAACCTCTGGAATGTTATGTGACTTTATTTATTAAAAGTGCTAAACCAGATAACAAAATGTCGGTGTGAGACCAAAGCAGTAATGTAATGCATTGCTGTGTATGATTGATTTTTGATTGATTTTTGCAGCCCCTCTGCGTTTTATTAAGGTTTAGACTTTTCCACGCTTTTCAAACATATTAAAAAGCATGCTGTTAGGATTCATGCAAAGCTATCAGGAATATGTGGGATTATTGTTGTTAACATTGTTCTCACAATAATTCTCAATGTCACATTTTCTTGTTTTTGTAATATCATCCTCTCCTATTCAGTAGTTTATCTAAACAAAACCTCTTTTACATCACTGTTGAGCCATTTCACATCAATGAAACCAATTCAAACGTTTATGTATCCTGCTGTGCCCAATAAATCTGCAGGGGTGTGATCCTCCTCAAAAATGAGACATTTGGACTCGAGCCTGTTCCGTCTTCCAAATCCAATGAGCACGTTCTCTACAGCCTGAAGGACTCTGATTCTGAGCCGGTCACCTGTGGGGTCATTGATGAGGAATCATCAACGCCCAGTTATGAAGCCTTTGAGCCTGGTCAATCCATGGCTTCTCTACTAAGGGTCAGGATCATTGCTTTCTAAATCCAGTGGGAAATTGTTAAAAGTGTAAATAGATTTCTTTCTGTCTATATCCTTTTTGTTTTACAAATTTTTGTTTCAACAGAGAAAACGAGCTTTACCTCAAACCAGTTATGTAGAGTTGGTGCTGGTCGTTGATAACCTCAGGGTGAGTATTTATGGTTTTTCTGCATCGTAAAATGCATTCTGACTATTGATTAACTTTTTTTATATAGGTGTCACCAAGGGTTTCTACATTGCATAACTTGCTGAAAGAAATCCTTAAGTAGGTTTAAATCAATTTATTAATCAAAAGGTATCATAGTGAAGGTGAAATACTGGACTTTTCAAAAGTCTTAATTCTGCAGGAACTTCTCATTGTTTGTTTTTGCAACAAAAAATAGTGTGTGTTATTTGAGATTTTAGGTGACAGAAAAGTACTAAATATTGTGAAGTTAAAAGAAAGTCTGCATGGTTTTCAAATATGTAAATATAAACCTGACATCTGAAATTCAAAGCATGGTGATTTAAGGAGTGCTGGGGAAGTGATTCATTTTTTCTTTAAAAAGCGCTGGTATAGGTATGATTAATGTAATCTAACTTTGAAGCGGCAAACTATTACTTGGATCTTATCTGCTTTAAACTGGAGCTTAAACCAGAAAAGAAAAGATTCAAGAAACTGTGGACTTATCCAACTCAAAAATCAATATTGTGGTATATAATATTGTTGTAAAATAGCTAAATCATGAAATGAAGTCTGTATTAGAAATGCATAACTAAGGTGATTACAGTCTTTGGATGACGTAATGACTGTAATCTTTATTAATGATAATTATTATTATATTAAAAATCATTTAAGATATAGTAAAGGATGTTCTTTTTCTGGGTGGATCATCAAAATAAGTGGTCCTCCTAACTGTCAATCATTCTTGTGATATGTTTATGTCCTATGTGCTCATCCCCCATAGGTAGCTATCTTTTTTATACACACTTTTATCCAGTCAAGCTCACCTTTCTCACCACAGTTTTTTAAAAATAGCCGAGTGTCATTAGAGAAAAAGTGTCTACGAAGTCTATGAGAAGAAAAGAAGAAAAGGTAAAGGGACAGGTAAAGGGTTGTGCACATAACCAGGCAACCAGAGGTACAAGGAGATACTTTACAAATTATTGTCAGAATTTAGATGGAGAAAAAAAAAATCAGCAAAGTCATTGCGGAACTTGTTAGATTAGAGTTCAGGAGGAACAGGAAGTGAGGGAACAGCTGTCCTGTGAACAATAGAGAATAATTTAGTCTTTAACAATATCAATGGAGGACTACTGTCCTTAATTATCACCTACATGGGGTTAAAACTCTTTAAATTCACAGACCTACAAATCTAGTTTTCTCCAGCTGTGATTCTGGTTTTATCAGTTGGTCGGGTTTTATTTCATGCATCAGTAATAACTGAGCTTGTTGCCCAGTCGGTTTTAAATAGAGGTTGGTAGAGTGCCCCCAAAAAATTAGACGAGTAAGAATAGAACTAGTCAAACATTTTTCACTCAAGTAAATGTAAAAAGTAGTCATCCAAGAAATTACTCAAGTTAGAGCAAAATCCTACCTGGTAAAATGACTACGGTAATTAAAGCTATGGAGGATGATCTTTTATTTCCGAGTGGATCATAAAAATAAGTTGCCCTCCTAATTGTCAGTCATTCTGGTGATACGTAAGGCCGTCCTACCTGCTTTTCCCATTAGCTATCTTTTTCTGCGCATGCGCACTTTTCATATCTGTGGCGAGCTACAGTTTCAGCAAGTCATTGAAGCTTACCTTTCTCACCGTGGTTCTTTGAAAATGGCCGAGATTCACAAGAGAAAAAGTGTCTATAAAGTGTATGAGAAGAAAAGAAAAGGCCTCAGAAAAGGCAGATATATCCTGGAATGCTTTATGAGAGCTCTCCTCGCAAAGCATTATGGGATTTGTTGTCTGGACGGAAAGTCTGTTTAAGGCTCTAAGAGACTTAAAACCCTGAGGTTCACAAGTCTAGGACTGTAACCCCAAACATAAAGTTAGGGTTACAATGATGTGGTTTATGTCAAAGTGTAAGTAATACCTTAGATGACCTAATCAAAGTTGAGTTAAAACTAAAGGAGAATATGTGACAAGTCTTAATGATTGATTTTCACTCACATTTCCTTCCCAAAGTTACGGATTCTGAGCTATTTTACAAAGAATGGCAAATGATGTCAGTGTTTAGATGTGCAAATCTGGTTTATTCGAAAAGCTGCAACACACAAAGGCACACCACACCTGTCAGATTTTAGTCTGATGAGAAATACTTATAGCTGTATTAATTTACTTCGATTCTCAGATATGAGGTATAAAAATTCTGAATAATTACATTTTTGGTTTTAACAAGACGTGAATCATTTAAAAAATGTACTGAGTACTGAGGGTTTGTTTCTCTGTAAGACTAGTAAATACATTTAAAGGGAAATGAGAGGTTTTTTGAATGTTATTTATTTATTTATTTTTTTTAAATTGGCAAGAAACTGAACTTCTGTTTAGACAGCTTAATCAGAATATTCTCACTCTGCATCTGCTTAACATAGATGTGAGAGATTTAATCTTAATCTTGACTATTTCAGGGAGATTTGATACATCTTTACAAAAAAAAATTGTCTTTAAACAGTTTCTTTTTAGTGTTATGGATACTAATTTCATGGTTAATAAAACAGTTAAATTTTAGTTATTATGTAACTTTTCGAACAGTATAAATACAAGAAAGGAAATGAAACAGCAGTCCGAGAGGAGATGGTGCAAATGGCGAACCTACTGGATGGGGTGAGATTTTGGACCTTTTTATCTTTTTATTATGCTTTATTCAGTTTTTTTTTTTGCTGTAGTATCATCTCTGATGTTAACCTTTTTTTCTTTTTTAGTACTACAAACCGCTGAATATCCGAGTTGTGCTTGTGGGCCTGGAAATTTTTAAGGAAAGCAATCCTTTCAGTGTGGAAGGCTCTCCCGGAGGGGTGCTGGGAGAGTTTGTTAAGTGGAGGAAGAGTACTTTATTACCAAAAATCAGGCATGACATTGGTCAGCTTATTATGTAAGTAATGTTTGTCTTTTATTTTGTCTAGCTAATACAATAATTATTGTTTTTACTGATTTGCTTAAGTTGTTAGAGAAGATTTTTATGTATTTATGTTTTTTTTTCCCGTCAGTGGTCGGGAGAAGGCCTACGGTGCTGTTTTGGGTATGGCATTTGTTGGCACTGTCTGCTCTGCTGCAAGCTCTGGAGGAATTAACGTGGTACGTTCTGTTTTAACCTTGAAGACCAGTAATGCTTTGACACCATGAGCTTTTGCAGGGAATCTGATAGAGTATGATTTATTCAAGAGAGGCTCTCCTGTTGCTGACAGGCTCTACATAACACACCAGTGAAACTGGTCTGACAGGAATGCTGCCTTACTGTTCCATGACAAGCCTTCTTTCTTTTGGCTTTCACATTCTTTAGATGCTTTTGGTTCTTAATAATGACTGTGTATTTTCAGCTGTTACAAAAAGTAAAAATATTGTTCTGTTAGAAGGGAAAAGGAGCAGGGAAAGTGCAGAAAAAGGCTTTACAAACTAGTTATAAACAGAGACTCCGTATTTTGATGCAAAAGCTGATACAGTTATTCTAATAATGACTTTATTTTTACTGTCATAGCTTGGATGTTTATTTTCTAGGCATTTTGTAGCAAATTTTTATTTTATTTGCGGTTACATCATGTGACTGCAAAAAAATGTGTTTTATTATTAACCTCTGTTCATTAATATGCTGCTTATTCTGATATGTTGTCTAAGTTTTGGTTAGATAAGGTCACATATGTATGAAATTATTATTATTATTTTAAGTGTAAACCTAATTATAGGATTGGGTAAAGAAATAGATAATTTAGATTTATTGTGTGGTGATCTTAGGAAAAAAAATTGGCACCTTTTGTTACTAAAACAGTTTCTCAAAGTAATTAAAAATGGTAATTATTTCAACCTGTGTAGAAGGTTAATACTTCCAACGCTGGCTTTATTTTTGCAGTTCAGCGCAGACAACTTGAACTACGCTTCTGTTATTGTGGCCCATGAGATGGGCCATAATCTGGGCATGAATCATGACCGTACTGGCTGTTGTGATGGAAAGAGCTGCATCATGGCAGGGGGTGCCGGGTAAAATATCTAACTATAGGAGACTGAATCAAGTGTTTGTTTTTTTTCTAACTCTATATGTGTGTGTGTATATATGTGCCATATATATATTTTAGTGTTTTATTTTTTTTTAATTTAGATAATTAGAACTGACAACTAATGGAAAATGCCAAAATCTGCATCCCAGAAGATTAGAATATTAGAACCAATAACAAAAAAAGAACTACTGGAATTACTTTGGGCCAACAAAGTATGACGATTTGAAGTATGAGTATGTACAGCACTCAATGCTTTGTTGGGGCTCCTTTTGCCAGGATTACTGCAGCAATGCAACGTATCGCATCATCCTCTTCATAATACTCCATAGATTTTCTATGGGGTTAAAGTCAGGGGTGTTTGCTGGCCGATGAAGAACAGGGATACCATGGTCCTTAAACCAAGTACTGGTAGCTTTAGCACTGTGTACAGATGCAAAGTCCAGTTGGAAAATGAAATCTGCATCTCCAAAAAGTTGGTCAGCTGCAGGAAGCATGAAGTGCTCTAAAACTTCCTGGTATGTGGCTGCGTTGACCCTGGACCTCAGAAAACACAATGGACAAACACCAGCAGATAGTGTGGTCCCCAAACCACTGACTGGAAACCGGACCTAAAGCAACACAGATTCTGTGCCTCTCCTCTCATCCTCCAGACTTGACCTTGATTTCCAAAAGAAAGGGAAATTGTACCTTCATCAGAAAGAAAATTTTGTCTTTAGCCCTCTTCTCCATGATTGTCTAACCCAGTGTTTCCAAAATGGTGGTACGTGTACCCCTAGTGGTCCATGACTGCATTGCAAGGGGTACATCAAAATATTTTATTTCTTAGGTAGAAGGATAAAATAGGGCTGGGCTCTGTTTTGCTTTCTGAGGACCCAATTGAAAAATTAAACAAGCTTTTATCATCTTAAACAAAGTTTTTCTTATATGTTTGAGTTCCTCTTTAGCTTTGGCACACATCAAAACCAAGCAGAGGAACAGACTGGATATAGAGAACAGCCTGGGATCAGCTGATTTTCACGCTGAGCTATCAGAGCTCATCAAAGCAGCTCAGCTGTCTTGATGAAAACAAAGTAAAACTAAGTCAGTCTGACTATAATTTTTTTTCTGTAATTTTTTACCCAATTCATCAAGTTTAAATGTGATTATGAGGGAGCTCCAGTTTTATAAATACAGGGTTATAATATAATTTAATTTTGTATATATTTCGATTCCTTAACTTCCTTTAATTCCTTAACTAACTTCAAGGCAACATCTTTGTTGTTTTTTAATTTGATTCTGAGATAGAAAGAATAAAGTGAGAATAAAATGCTCAAGTTAAAAGTAAAATAGTTTTTATTTTATATTCACTATGACAATCTATGTTCCACTTTTGGACCACCATCAATACTTTTGATTGAAGGGGGGGTACTCATGGTAAGACAAAAAGGGGTACACGATTCAAAATAAGTTGGGAAACACTGGTCTAACCTACAGAATAACTCTTAGACCATTTAAGGTATTTGCAGGTGGTGTGAGTTAACTAACTGATCAGAGTGTGGCAGCATATGTCTTCACTACTGGACCTTGTCACAATATTGACATTTTCTGAGACACTGAATTAGTTTTTTTGTATTAGTTGTCAGTTATAATTTAAAAATAAAGTATGGATATATCAGCCTGTGTGCTATGTATAATAATTATATTATACAAGCTTAACTTCTTGAATGGAATACTGAAATAAATCAACCTTTTTTATGATATTCTAGTTAAATGACCAGCACCTGTAATTTAAAAGCTTTTGATAAAAATGTTTAACTAGATTCTCTTCATTCAACTCTTTTATTTTGTAGAGATTCTGTTGAATTCAGTGAATGCAGCATGCGGGACTTTGAGGCACTGATTCTCCGTGGGGGAGGCGTGTGTCTTAGGAATCAACCGTTGCCATCAGAGGTGGTTGGTATCGCTGAATGTGGTAACGGCCGCCTGGACACAGGAGAGGAGTGTGACTGTGGGAAACCAGGGGTAAGGAAGTGTAAAGTTTTTTATACATTACTTTGTTCTTTGTTGACTTCTAGACTTCAAAACTCACAGAATTGAGAGTAACCTATAATAAGAAGTGTACACTTTTGAATGGTACTGATGCTTCCATAAAAACTTGGTTGGTGGTAACTGTTTTTCTTTTGTGTTGACATTTAATAGACATTGTCACTGAAATAAACTATATTGATTTAAATGTTTATTGGTTATAGTTATTCCCCCTTCCCTTTAGTCTAAGACACTGTATACGCTACAGCCAGATCATGGGCAGTATTTTCTATGATCTTGGAGAAATCTTCAGGGGTTACAGTATATAAAAAGAACACAGTTCCCATACTGAGATAATTCCGTAAAAGTAAAAAAAAAAAAATCCACTGGACTTGGTTTCCAAGATTTGAAGACATTTCTCAATTCAGATGAATTGAGAAAGCTTCCTGGAGACTTGGCGAAACTTCTTCAAATCTTGGAAACCAAGTCCAGTGGGTTTTTTTTTTTTACTTTTACGGAATAACTGACTGAGAATCTTCATCAACATACTGAGATAAACATTTTAAACCCGTTCAATCTTATCTGAAGCTCATACACATTCCAGTTGTTGCATGGAGGAGTCTGATGGAAGCAATAGTCACTTCTCCTTGACATATGGATTGGTTGTAGAAGAATTTGAAGGTGAATTGATCATAGCCACACTTAAAGTAATTTATTCTTGCACTTCTTGTGGTTCACATCTTGCCTCTGCTCTGGCTTCAGTGAAAAATATCACGGGTATCAGCCTGTGTTGATTGTGTGGGTTGAATGAATAGTATTATGGAATTCACAAAAAAGGCTGATTTTGCTGTGTTGGCTTAGTGGTCTAAGTTAGTGAAAGATATTTAAACAAGATATACAGGCTTTCACTGTAAATGATGCAGAACATATTTTTATTTATTTTTCTAGAAGCAAAGTCTGCTCAGTCTCTTCCTGTTAACAGCTTTAGTGCTGTCTCTCGAGTCCAGTGTGAAGGCCTGAGGGACGCCGAGACATTTTTTCCTCTCTAGCATCACGGAAATAGTGCCTGACCTATTCCTATTTTTTTTGATATGTACAGTTACGTTCTGTTATGTTTACATTCAAGTTAAAATGGTTGTATCCACATACAGTGTTCAAACAGCTCCCAGCACTTGGTTGCTTTTCCATTTCCCATCCACTTCTGGGTTAACTGGGTATTTCTGCAGGTTGTTTGAGTCTCTGAATCTGTGGCCTATCTGTCACATAATTCTGATCGTAGCAATTGTTGACACCTCCAGTTGTCCTTCAGAGTATCTGACATTGTAAACCTGGCTGAAGTATGATAAATTAGTGTCTTTATAATGCCTAAGTTTCTCAAATCTTAACTTTAGTTGTTCTTTTACACTAGTATATTTCCCTCCCTTATTGAATGTCATTGTTTTTTTTTTTGTTGAGCAGTTTCTTCAGGTAATTGGTGATCCAGGCCTTGCATCTTTAAACTAACTCTTAAAAAGCCAGTTTAACATAAGCATACATATAATTTAAGGTTTAAGATAGCTTCTTAATTGCCAGAACTACTCAAAAAACATTGGTAAGACTTTAACTGAATGTTCAAATTTCTTTAAAGAATTTTTCTTATTTGGCCTCAAAATCTTTTTAGGAGCCATTTTTGTCTAAAAATGACATTGTCAGCTGCTGTCTATGAAAATGACACTGGAGAAGAACCTTAGTGTGGATAATCTTTTACTTGGTTTACTTGCTTTCTATGTCCATTTTATAATTAACATGTATTGTAGAAGTACAATCACATGCTTTAGTTTTCCAGTGTGTAATAAGCTGTTTTTTAATTTTATTTTATACAGGAATGTAAGAACGAGTGCTGTGATGCTGCTACCTGTAAACTAACACGTGGTTCCTATTGTGCTCATGGAGATTGCTGTGAAAAGTGTCAGGTCTGCAAACTGGAATTTTATCTTCATCTAAAATTTCAGCACCTAATTCTGCACTAAAGATAAGTGATTCATTTTACTTTCATGTCTTTGGTGCTCTCTAGCTCAAAGTGGCTGGAACTCCATGCAGAACGTCCGCTGACGTCTGTGATCTTCCTGAGTATTGTAATGGCAAAACGGGTTTTTGCCCTGATGACTTCTATATCATGGATGGAATGCCCTGCAAAAACAATGCCGCCTATTGCTACGAGGGACGCTGCCAGACCTATGATTACCAGTGTTTACATTTGTTTGGATCAGGTACATTGTGTTGCAATTTTTGAAAAAATATTTGTTTGGGTAAGATCATTGCTTGTAATTGATCCCTTTTTGGTCAATTATATACTTTAGAAGATCATTTGCATAACATTTAGATATGCAACTAATGGAGATCTTTCAGAATATATTGGTCACTTTTCAAATAACTGAATTTTTTCTCTTGCAAGTAAAATTTACTATTTTATTTTATTTTTTTTTATAACAGGTGCAAAAAAAGCAGATGATATTTGCTTCGAATATGAAAATATGAAGGGAAATGTGTTTGGAAACTGTGGAATCAAGAACAATGGAGATTACATCAAGTGTACTTCCGAGTAAGTGCTTTAAGTTTATAACTGTCAGATGCAGATTTATCGGTTATATATACTTAAATAGACCAAATTCATATTATGAATATGATCTATTTCATAAATAGCAGATTAAAATCTGAAATGTACAACTGAGGATTATAACATTATAAGAATGTCGTAATACAAATATTTTGAATGTAAAACCGATACAAAAAATAAATAAATAAAAATCGATCCTGGTAACCATTTTCGAAAATGCAGCAAAAGTTATTTGAAGTTAAGTTTATTTCTGGACAAAAGCAAATACAATATGACAAACCTTACCTCAGTTTCCTTAAGTGGTAAAACCAATGATTGCTGATCTCTTTAGGATCAACACTGACATACAGTAAATAAAAATAAAAGCAAACAATTCACCAAAAGGTTGCTTGTTGATTTATAACTGCCTAAATTAGGTAATTTATAGTAAAAAATTTTAAATACGAAATTATGTTAAAGTTTTATTTAAATCAGATCTATGTATTGTTTGGATGAAATAAATGCAAGGAGACTCACCCAGATCAGTATTTTTGATTTTACCTTGCTTCCTTTTTTCGGACAAAAAAAAAAAAAAAGATGTAAGCATGTGTTCGACAAAGATTAGGAAAGAACATTTATGTGGGTATGTATGCATGCATGTATGTATGCATGCATGCATGTATGCATGCATGCAATGCATAAAGAAAAATAAAATTTTTATAAAGTAAATAGTAAATAATACTGCATTGGTGTTCAAGAAGGTTCAATGTGCATGAATCACAGATTCTAGTGTCTTGTTAACTGTTTGACAGTACAGTAGACTCTTCTCAGACAATATAGTTTTATTGACCATTAAAGCACTGATTCCAAAGATATAAGCCCATTTGTTCTTCTCCTGTTGCTTTGCTCTGACAGGAATCGTGACATTTCTATGTATTGGCCAAAACATATTTTAAAATGCTAAAAGGTCATAGCTACATGTTTTTCGTCAAAATGATTACTTTCTCAAAAGTAAGGCATCCAGCAAACATCTGGAGTTCTGCAGAATAAAAGCATTCATTTTAATGAAAACAATACAATTGACTTTCAAAAAATAAATACCGTAAATATTTACTTCTGGGTACAACAGCCCTCATTGATTGGCTGTACAGATGAAGTTTTGAGGGCTGGAGGTGCCACAGTGCATTGTAGGACATTTTGCTGCAAACATCCTCACCTCTTCAGAATTTCAGTGGTAATCTCAAGAGTCCTACTTCCATATTAGGTGAATGACTTAATATAAATAATGAGATGACGCATTTTTAATTACTGACATTAGTAAAAATGTAATTACTTTTTACCTGCATTCTAATTTACTGAATTGGAAATATCTTTCCAGTAAATGTTATCAACTAATACACAGAAAGAGACACTTAAATCATAGCAATGACCCTTACAGAGAAGAGAGGAGAATACTAATGAAAACTGGGTTTGCTTTAGGGGTATCAAACTACAGACTGCTGAAAGCCATTTACCTTCTCCTTCCATCTAACCATGTAGTGCTCCTTTATAGTTATCAGACACTATCTTCATTTAAACATGGTTAAGTTAATAGTTATAGTATTTTACAAAGTTTCCTAAGGTTCAGGTAAGCCGCAGGATTTTCTTAATAAAAAACAAGTTTTTCCATTTCATGAAACTTTCCTTTGATCCTTTTAATAATGAAGTATTTTGTAAGAAGGCTGCAGGCTTTAAAACTAGAACCAACCCCCCCTCCCCTTTTTTTGTAAAATCATCCTTACTGATTGTCCAGTGACAAACTGGCCCGGTAGCCTCCTGCCAGGCATCTTTGGTCACTGAATTAAACACATTTTTTGAGCCTTGCACTAACTTGAGGAAGTGTCCCCTTTACAGGAACGCCAAGTGCGGAAAGGTGCAGTGCACTAATGTGAATTTGGAAAACCACCCAGTTGGTGCCCAAATTAGTATCCAGATAGTTCAAGGATCCCGATGTGTTAATGCAGACTTCAACCTTGGAAGCGACGTACTTGATCCTGCTTATGTGAATCCTGGCAGTCCTTGTGACAAAGGAAAGGTGAGTTTATGCCAGTTTTGGAAAGTATGTTCTGTTAAAGGAAAGGATTATTTACAGTAAGATTATATAGTTGATCAAGTTAAACTGAATATAGTTGGTCTTCTTCTACAGACCTGCATAGACTTCAAGTGTGTGAACGCATCAGCTCTTGTGCCGAACCTCAAGTGTGATTCTCAGACCACCTGCAACGGACGAGGAGTAAAACAAGACTTTTATTTTTAATGGACTCTATTATCAGCCAATAATGAAAAACTATATTGTTCATTGGGTCATTTATTTCTACAGAAGTGTAATGACCAGGGGCACTGCCACTGCGACAATGGTTGGGCTCCACCCACTTGTGAGACATCAGGGCGAGGAGGCAGCATTGACAGTGGTCCAGCTATGATAGGTACTTTTAACAATAATGTGTTTTAGAAGTGTGACATCATAGAGCATTCTACCTTACGATCACCATATTGATTACAGAACGTTTATCTTAGCTCTCTGGCTCTTCCCCTCTGATTACTATCGATCATTCTAATTTAAATCTCTGTGAACTTAAACGATACACAGAGAAAATCTGTGTTATTGCCATTCAAATACTTTTTTCAGCACCTTTCCTGAACTGACAGGCTTCCAGATTTTTCCTTTCACAACTAATGCATATATTTTATACACAACCCACCCTCATTGACCGGAGATAGCCTGAAAGCTTATAAAGCAAAAATGCCTATTGGTATTTCACAGCTGGCTGGATTATTGACTCGAAAATAAAGCAAACATTGCATACTGTACATGTTTGAATTTGGTATATTTGCCAAAGTTAGCGAAGTTGGCCTTACCAAGTTGGAGAGTAAGCAAATGCTTTTGTTGCCATCTGCAACTTTCTAACATAATTCCTCCTGTTGTTTTCCTACTTATCTTGCCACTGGTTGAGTTATTTAAGTTGGTAGGTTTCCCCTGAGTCAATCCAGCTCTTGGGTATAGCCTTCAAATTTTTTGTTGGGAAGACTTTGGGAAGGTCATTGCATAACTTTAATGTTACACTGCCTCTTCTAATAAGTGAGCGTATGTTTTTAATCATTGTCCAGCAGAAACACTCAACTGTATAAGAGTTAAAAACTACAGCTACATTCTGAGAAATTTCACTTTTTTTTTTTACCTACCTACCTTCAGTATCACAGCTGAAACGCATCTACCCTGTGCAATATCAAGGAATTTAAAATGTCCATGGGGCAGCTATACATTTCTCATGAAGGGTGTTGATTTTCAGAACAGGGTCTTATTAGATTAGCACATTCCCACACAAAGGTGGACATTGGTGTTCTACAGATTTCCTGTTCATAGCTGGCATAAGACCTATGTGGTCCTTGGACTGTCTACGTACACTGTTTGATCATCATTTTTATCACCCGGTCATAATCTGAGGAGGAATGTTTCTCAGATATTATACAAAGAGAAGGAAACATCTTTAAGTATTAACATAATTTGTTCCAGTAATGTTGAACAAAATCATTAACCTGGCAGTAGCCAGCTTGATATGCGTCGATCTGAGTCGAATTCTATGTTATCAATCTGGGATGGCTGCCGTTCAGTCTGTGCATGAATAGGAGGGACGTTTAGTACAATACTTCGAGCTGATTGGGTGCGGATGCTGCAAAGCCTCTTCCCAGAGGGCAGCAGGGAGAACAGTCCATGGTGGGGGTGTGAGGGGTCGCTGATGATGTTACGGGCTCAGGACATGCAGCGCTGGAGGGAAAAGGAGCCCCGATGACCCTCTCTGCTGCTCTCACCACTCTTCTCACCTTCTTCCAGTCTGGGGCGCTGCAGCCTCCACACCACACAGTGAGACAGCTGGTCAGAATGCTCTCTATGGTGCTTCTGTAGAAGGTGGGGAGGTTAGGCGGCGGCAGGTGGACTCTGATGATCCTCCACAGAAAGTCGAGAGCCCCTAGTAGCTTTTGTTTTTAGCCTGCTAGCTTTTCCTACCCAAATTTTGCTTCCACTAAACGTCAAAAACGATAACAAAGATATGACTGTATACTAGGAGTAAAGTGTTAACTTATCAGTCTAATAATAAAGTTGAGAAAAGAGAATCTGTTTTACATCCGGCTTCTTCTTTCACCCTGCTCCAACGAACAAACTCTTTTCCAAGACGTTCTTGTTTTTCCTCACGTACAATCCCTTTGACGTTTTCTATTTTTAGCCTCCTCATAAGGTTTAAACTTTTTCCTTGCCTAAGCTATTACCAGTAGTCAAGCAGGTGCAAAAATAGTAGAGTAAAATCCTTAGCTCCATGGCGATACAAGAGCCTATGGCCGTAAAGCGATGCATTCTTCCAGGCCACATGACCTGACCAACGACGGTGCATGTTCTCCCATCTTACATAGGCGTTATTTCAAGAGGGGAGCCCCGCTCATATTATTGATAGTGTCAAGAGCTGTATATTGCCCTGAGGAATCATTTAAAATAACTAAAAGGAGTCAACTCTTAAGGTCACAGAGTACATGGTGTGCCTTTAACGGCCAATAGTATGACAACTATTCCCCACCATAAGTCTGGCTGAAAATTCTAAACAAGACTGTTAGTCTGGATTAACAGAAATTGTTGACAAATATTATCTTCAGCAGGGTCACATTTGTTGCATGATGCATTTATTTCTTCTGCATCATAGGCTATCTTTTCCGTTTGAAAACCTGAAACAGTAGCCATGTCTTCAGACATAAAATCAATTTTTTTATATCAAATACTGCCTTTAATTCTCGACTAATGCTCCTTTCTTTTATATATTTATTTATTTTTTTACATGTGAATCTCTCTGCTTTAGATTATTCCCTCAGGAATGGGCTGTTGATCTTCTTCCTGTTGATTGTCCCTCTTCTTGTCGCCGCCATTCTGTTGCTGCTCTACATCTTTAAAAAGGATTCCCTAAACATCTGTTTAAAACGAAAACAAAGGTATATTAAAGGAAAGTCAAACTTTTACGAGGCAAATATATGGCGTCTTTACATTACAAAGAAAATATTTTCTTTTGTCATTGAAAGATCACGCGATAAAGGAAATGGCAATACACAAGCACCAACAAATGGCAACGTTCCAACAGATGTGACAATTCGAACTCCAGGACAAGTTCCACCCCCAAGGGTAAATCTATTATTTCCAAGTAATCACAACATGTGAAAGTTGTTTTTGTTAATATTTATATATATATTTCTATATGTAGCATCTGACTTTTTTTTTTCTATTTTTTTTTTTATCCTCCAATTTGTTTATTGAATATCTCTTTTCATTTCAGCCTCCAAACCCATCAGTGACATCTGCTCCAATTTCAGGGTATGCATTTTATTATTTTTAATATCTTTGCATCTGTATTTTCTGTGCATTAATGTGCTTATATTTAATCAAGTGTAGTTATTATAAGATTAGCAATTCACAACAAATATCATTACAAGCAACTATACAAGCCAAAATGGCTAAAATATATGAGCAAATCAGCAAAGTTTACGTTAATTATTTGAGGCCTTGATCCCAGATATTATGCAGTGTAATTGAATTCAGTTTATGGTATATTTAGTGACGACATAGAATGTTATGTATCCCAGGACACTGGGCAATCACATCATGTCATTATAAAATTTTTTCTAATAGAATTTATAGCATTAATATAATCCCAATGTATGTTCTGTCAGTTTCAGGTATGGAGAACTTGATTATTGGAACCAAGAAGACAATGCTGCCCCTCAACGACCTCCACCTCCTGTTCAGGGCCCAGGAGTGCCAAGCGCCATCCCTGTGAGAAACCCCCCCAATTGATGTTTGGTTTGTGTTGGAATGCAGTGAGAGATATGAATGTGTTTCATAAGAAAATACTTTTTTTAATCACTGTGACATTCACTGTAACTTGACTTAACTTAACCTTAAAGCTGACTATTATATTATTAGTATTTGCTTCCTGCGGGTAATTATCTGCGTATGTGGGTTTTAATGGATTCTTATTTGAAGCTATATGGTATGTCAGCCCAATGTGCAGTTTGATATAAAAATGGATGCAAAAAATGCTTTGTTTTCCAGAAATATTCTTTAAAAAATGCCAGTTTTTGTTATTGAGATTGTAATATATTGTAGAACATTGTATTAAAAAAAAGGAAATTGTCTTGTCAAATCAATTTTAAAATGGTTGTGTTGAAATTGTCTGTTTTAAATGTTGATATTGTAACTTTGTCCTAAAGACTATAATAAAAAATGAATTGTTGAAATACCTTTCTATTCCCCCTATATGAGCTTTTTATGATGCACAGCTGGTTACAGTTAGCAGTGATGAAGATGAGATATTTTGTTGGCAAGAAATGAAATGAAATAATGATTATATAGATTAAACTAGTTGGTTAAAGAAAAAAAGGGGGGCTGGCTTATTTTCATAATTTTGTGCCATTTCAACCAGGACAGTAATTTTTTCCTTTATTCTATTCTATTGTACATGTTCTTTTTTCATTCGAAATTCTCAGTACAGCTATTTTATTGCTAATTTCATTGCACATATACAGTAATATATTCCAAGCATTTTTTGTGTTTATGAAATTTTTTGTCTTATATTCAATAACATTATTTTTTTTTATTTCATAAACCTGACTTTGGGAAAAACTGCACTGCTATGTTCTTAACACTTTGTCAGGACCTCAAGTGGGCATAAATCATAGCATTACTGTAATCAATGACATTGCACATGTATTAGTTAAGCCCAGGTTTTTTGAATGTCATCCCTTTGCTTGAAGCACTGTAATATTTCTTTGTAGATAGTCTTATGGATCAAATTACACCTCACGGTTGGGGTTCCGGTTACACCGCATTGCAACATAGCCCGTCCGTCTGATATCACATCCTCAGCGAGTGGGACCCTTAAAACCACATTGAGTCCAGATTTCTTATTCTCCCATTTTAGTAGGGTTTTCCAGTGCTGCCGGTGTTATGACAAAATCTGTGATTGCAGAGGGTGATAGCGAGAATTTCTCTTAGTAAACATTTTAAAGAGAATTCATAGAGCACTTAAGTAAATTGTGTAAGCAGAGATTGTAAGGTTTGAAAATGACTATGACCTGGATGACTGAGAATCTTCATCAGCATTAGTCTTAATGGTTTCAAATCTATTTGTAAGAGTCCTGTAAATGACAGTCTAGCCTCATTTATCCTAAAAGTGACCATTAATGTGCAAGAAACATGGCTCACAATTATAATTCACTTCAGAAAATGTGACCCTGCTCTACATACCTGGGAATTACATCAGATCTAAATGTAACTCAGATTCAGGATCCTACCCCCTCCTTGCTGCACTGAAGCCACTTTACCTTCTGACCATCATGGGAACAAAAAACCTTTTGTCACCATTTTTTATACCCATCATTAAATGTGACCCTGCTCTAAATATCTGGGAATGACACGACCTCAAAGTAACTCAGTTTCAGGCTCCTACCATCCTCTTTCTATAGAGTAACTAACATCAATATTCCAGTATTTATAAATCAAAGCAATTCTTATATTTTGATAACTTTTTACAAGAATGAAATGTGAATTATCTTTACCTTTATGTTGAGAAAACTAGGTTTTCAACACTGTCAGTGCAGCAAACTGAGGTACATAATGAACTGAAACACACTTCCGGTTTACAAAATTAACATCCATAGAAATAAATACAAAACTGAAGAGTCTTATTTTCTAAATGCAACTAATGCAGCAGGGTGAAGCTTTCCCACTTGTCTGGCCAATACAGTCATTGTGATACCAACGCTAACATTCACCACAAAGACCTGAAAATGATATTGGTCATTAAAATGACTATATCCTCATGAAAATCTCTTTATAGTTTTAGCCAATAAAAAAAAGGTTTCTAGTTATTAACTAGATGTGAATACGAGTATTTCAAAGATTGCTGAACAGAAAGAGTGTGCATAGTTGTTTCCATCAGTAATATGAAAGCTCCCTCTTTTCTGTGGCAGCATATAGCCCCATAGTCAGGGGATCACTGTGTATGTGGAGTCAATACGGGAAGCATTTTGGCACACATTTAAAGTTCAAGCTTATGCCTTTGGCTACTAACTCAGTCTTCTATGTATGGCCAAGGGGAGGAAGAAAGTCAAACCTTTATGGTAATACTGTCTTTTTCTCCTCCTCTAAACGTTCATCCAAATGCCAGCTTACCAAATCGCATGTTTTGTTTCTTCCAGGGCAGGGATTCCATTAAGAATTTTTTCCCTTGCTCTAACCAACCCAATTAAACTTTTTGGATACTCTCTGGACAGTAGACCCACAACAGAAGAGCAGCTTATTGTGATTCTACAATAAACTGGAATATCTCAAAGTCTATGTTATTAAAACAGCATGGGAGGAATAACATTATGATGTTATTCCTCCCAAGGTAAGAGGAACAACCTTGATTTATGCCTGACGTGGTCTAATCCACTGTAAATTCCTCTCTAAAGAACATTTCTCTAATGCTAAATTTTCTAAATTCTACCTGACAGTTAGTGAATATTGTAAAACATATGAACAGTTTTATTGGAAAAGAAAAGTTCTTTGTCTTATTCAAAAAGAATGACAAGAGTGATCTTCTTTCAAGCATTATTTATTAAGCATTGCAAAGGAGAACAGATGCAGTTTTTGGCCTGTTTGTTATCGCACTGACTACTCGACACTCAAGTAAAGGGCTGGGAGAGATTTACAAGTATCTTAATTAAAACAAGTTACAGGCAGTATGGAACAAACAGAGGGATGTTAAATAACCTTAAACCTAAAGGGAAACCTAATGGCTCCCTTTCCAAAAACATCTCACACTGGAAAACATCTTCTAGGCATCAATGAGCCCAAAGCTTAGCCTTCTTTAGCAGGTTACAGCTTGAGCGAATACTTACAATACTGAATGAGGAAAAGAGGAATAGATGGGAATATAATTTTACCCACCATAACATTCACCATCTAATTAGGTTCACTCATTTTGGGGTTAAGAGGATGTTGGTAATTTAAAAAAAAAAACAATTAGTCAAGCAGATTACCAAACAATTCTTCCTAATCCACCGTTGCTATTTTTGGTATGCCTCCATAGATAGACCTTTCTGATCCTCGGAAATGAGCACTGGCCTTTAGTTCCTTATACTTCGTAGATTTGTGCCCCATTTAACTACCCTGTTGAAATCGTGCAGAGATCAGTCCGAGCATAGTAACTGAGATAACTGTTGAGTGTAATTGGCTCACAAACTGAACCGGACCTTGCCAGACACAACCAAGCCGCGCTAAATCTAGTATTAGTTCATTAGTAGGTCTCGCCGCAATTCAGTTCAGGTTTGGTTCTCAGATAACAAAAAGCACATGAGCAGACCGCATCATCTGCTTGCAATCAACCTCCGTAATCATTAAGTTTCAGACATTCATAAAAATACAAGCTTCTCAACCGTGCCGCACAATTTCCAGTACTGATTCTGCTTAGCTAGGGTGACCAGATGTCCTCTTTTTCCCAGACATGTCCTACTTTTCATACCTAAAAAAAATGGGGGGGGATTTTTGTCTGGGATTTTGGTCGACTACAGTGCAGCATGTAGTTGAAACACACCGGGCACCGAACCGGGCTGTAAGTTCCGGGGCTGGTCCGGGAACTCCGGCGGACGGGGGGATGGAACCAGCGGGAGACGCAGTGACTGAACCCGAACCAGTGATGGTCACCTTAGCTTAGCAGTGTGATGGACCTCAACGTCTGTCTTTGTTTTCTGTGCCTGTAAGCCCTGATTAGATTATCATTTGTTGTATCCACTACCCAAAAGCAAACTCTGTCAAGTAAATTCACCAAAGAAAACCTTCTTCGCCTGACTGTGCAAGCACCGAAATATCACAATTATAACCAAACTTCCTGAATGTTATCTGCACTGCCATGATGATTTCCTTGATTCCCTCCTTCAATCCTAGAGAGCAGTAGTATTGTAGAACGTCTCTAGGAGGTGAAGAACCATGCTAGCATGATGTGTAAATGGTCGGAAGGAACCAAGCTCGGTCCAAACTCGGAAATGATCAGTTTCAGACAGGTAGTGGAAATGGGGCTTTCAGCTACAGCCACAGAGAGACAAAATGCTCATAATTACCTCCACCAAGGAGGTTATTTATTCATTGATGTTGGTTTGTCTGTTTTCAAAATAACATATGGATGGATTTTGCTGACATTTTTAGAGAAAGTGCATATTGTGACAAATTTTAGAGATGATCCAGATCTCGGAGGAAATTAGCTACTTGCTAGAGGTCTGTGCTCTTAACTTGTTTTTCTAGTTTCTTGATCTTTCTCTGTAAGGCTGGTTTAATAACTGTATGCCTTAACATGAATTACTCACTATACCTGTCAAATTATGCCAGAGCGGTTGGTGGCACAGTAACGCAATGACCAATGAAACAATAAGCAAGGGAACTGGGCATGCATAGAAGGGAGTTAATACTGCTGTGATTTTCTGAATGTGGAGAATTATTGTCTGTCAAAAGGTGGGCTGCTGACCAAAGCATCTCAGATAAAGTTGTAGAGAGGCAGTAATTGCTTCAATTCAGTTTTGTATATTATTTACAGACCCCAGACACACTGACTTCATGTTGATTACAGTATATATGGGTCATGTTGTGGGGATGATTGGTCGGAGCCAACTTGAGCTAAATCCAGGCAAATCCTTGAAAAATTTGAAAAGGCTAAAAAAAAGACTAGAGATCAGGATGAAGGTTTACCTTACAGCATACTGCCAGAACTACAATAGGCCTGTTTAGAGTGAGGCATCTGTTTGTGTCAATATCATTAAAACAGCAGAAATTGTATGTCAAGGCGTTTATAATCTACGAAAGAAATTGGATAAAAACCACAGGCAAAATAATTATATTTCTTTTTGGATTATATAAGTTTATTATATGTATAAATATAACACTTAGGTTACAAAAGTAAATACAGTTGACATGCAAGCAAAATCTTCACACCTTGATTTTATCTATGAATTACTTTCCAGTTTTTCTGGTCAAAATATGTTTTTACATTATTTAGAGCCATTAGGAAATGCCTCCTTAATGGATTAAGTTAAAATAATTCACAGATCGTTGAGAAAAACAGATATGCATTTTTACATACAAAGATGTTAGATATTCTTTATTTTTGTCGTCCACCAATCATTCTTCTATAGATGATGTGCTACTGTAAATGCTGATAAATATGGAATGAATACTGTGGTGCATTCAATGTTACACAAAGACTCGGCCAGTTGTTTGCAGATTATGTAAAAGTATATTATACCATAAAAGTATATGATGCATATAAATAGAAAGAGTATTTTATTTTTACTCTTTAGATGAAGCTTGTTTTTTTTAAAGGTGGTCATGGTAAATCAGTGTGTTAGGAAATCACTGATCATCGGAGTCTTGCAGATGTTCTTGACTCAAGGGCTAGATACTCAGAGTTCAATTAATCTAACTCCAAGTTTTCTTTGATTGGGGTAGGCAAAGTTAGAGTTCCTGAACTGTTATCACTTGCTTTTTTAACATTTGTTATTTATTAATAAGTACACACAATCTCTCAACATGGCAGCATATTAAGATGGCCGATTTAAATTTTTTAGCTATTCTTCCTCACTTGTCCAGTTTAAGAAAATCGTGGCTAAAAATGCAGCAGTACATATAACATAACATACTCCAAAAATCTTATTGATTCTTCCAGCCAGTTTGGTCCAGTAACCACTCTTTTCTTCACACCTATCGCTGTTTAGAAGAGTGATCATTTTCTTCATCTCCCTCAGCTCATCAGTTAACTTGTCCAGTGCAAGTTGCCCCTCCATCTGTATGATGCCAGTATCCTGCAAAAGTATATGTTTTTCAGAAGTTATAAATCAGATTACTGGACACATTAAAATTGAGCTAAATCAAATATATATTAAAGTTCAAACAAAAATGTCAGTCTAACTGTTTTGCTTTTACAAGACAATATCTCCATACTACAAATTTTTAGGCAATCGGTGTGACAGACCAACAAATGTTTGTGCATTTTTATAAACTGATTAACATCCAAAGCAGATGCTTTTAAATGAATGATATGTAGTAAATTGTATCCACATGTGTGTAATTTACTTTTTACTTTATTTCTTAGTATAAATACAACTGTTCTCACATCTCTATGTTAACTCTGCGCAAGGACCCATAGTTAAAGCTATGGGTCAGCACAGCTAAAGGAGAAGTAGCTCTGCTGCAATCAACATCTTTGTTTATAAATGTTCGAGCTCGGCCTGTTTTTCAGTGTAGTCCTGTTTTTCTGACTGTGACTGGCTGGATGTGCTAGTCTGTTGAAGCTCAGAGCTCGTGCTTGTGGAGCTGGTTGATAGTTGCCTTTTAGATATGCTTCATTGTGTGTTAGACTTAGACAACTTTTGTTGTGTGTGTAGAGTGAATACAAAATTAAATTTCATTTACTAAAGCTTTTCAGGCAGTAAATGAGCTGTTTCTGTCTCCTTGAACCCCAGTCGGCATCTGTGGATAGCCGCCCACACAGAACCTGGTTCTGCTGAAGGTTTCTCCCTGTTAAAAGGGAGTTTTTCCTCTCCACTGTCACTACAAGCATGCTTAGTGTGAGGGATTGCCTTCGAGTCAATGAGTCAATGCAATCAAGTGGTTTTCCTTAGATAGAAAACTGAATCAATTTGACTGTATGATCTGGTTGAATTGTAAAGTGACTTGAGATGATATGTGTTGTGGGTTGGTGCTACATAAATAAACTGAATTGAATTGAATCAGGATAATTTGTGGTTAGGGCATCTATTAATCGTATTCTGTACAAAAATAATTTTTTATGAAAATGTGTTTTTATGAAAATGTGGCAAGAAAAAAAAACACAAAAATCCACAAAAACATTCTTCTCTTGGACATTTGCCTTGCATGTTACATTGTAAAAAGTGTAGAAGAAAATGAAAAAAATGTAAACAACTGGCTGAAATATGCAATGTTAGGAATAGTGGGAAACCAACACTGTGGATCATTTGGAACCAAGTGTTTTATAATGAGACATGGTAGTGGCAGCATCATGCTGTGGGGAGGATTCCCTTCAGGGAGGAAATTGGTCGGAGTCAACTTGAGCTAAATCCAGGCAAATCCTTGAAAAACTTTAAAAGGCTAAAAAAAGACTAGAGATCAGGATGAAGGTTTACCTTACAGCACACTGCCAGAACTACAATAGACCTGTTTCGAGTGAGGCATTTTAATGTGTTGAAAGATCCACTCAGTCCTGTCTACATCTAGTGCATTTAGTGTGGGGAAACATACAAATGAATGTATGCAGACTCACCATACAATCTGATGGAGATTGAATATTTGATTTATGCTGCTTTATCACATTAAATCCCAATCAAAGATATTGAAGCATGAGTGCTTTTACAAGGAACTGTAATGAATTTTTTCATTACGACACTTGTTGTGGAAGCATTTTACTTTTAACATTTTACTAATAACAACTGACTGTGATATTTAATTGAATTTTCACATTGTGGGAATGTTCATTTCATGTATCAATTACAACTCCAAAAACATTGTGTAATATGTAGTAGCTCAAAAGTTTAACAGACTACTGATTTAAATAAAAATGTCCAACCTCTTTGGCTGCAGATGGCCTTCTAAAAGCTGTTACATCACTGGAAGAGGGATTGTATTTCTTCATTGCTGTAAAAATGTAGCGGATGTAAGAACAATTCAGTTTATTAAAATAAAGTGAATCAATGTGCATATATACTCTGTGTGTAAGCTGTCAAGGTTTTTCTAGTTTAATACATCACCCGGGATTTTGTCTTGAACTGCTTTCTCTTCTTGTAATGAAGAATCCTTCTCTATAAGATACATCACAAAAAGGGTCTCCAGGAGGCTGAGCATCATCATGGTAAATATTCCTATACAGTAGACCACTTAAGGGGTAAGAAACCATACAAAGTTTAAACATTATTCACAATATGTTTCTAAAAATATCTTGTAAATAATGTGTTTAATTTGAGTTTCATCACCTATGATCGGAATCATCTCAGATGAAGAGGGCAAAAGATCATTGAGAATAAGCTGCATGACTGTGACAGCGAGCAGTATAGTGATTTTAAAGCCAACTTTCTCACCACCAGTGTCTGACAATAGGAAGGAAAATAAATCCAGACACAAGAGGAAAAATATGGGCAGCAAGAAGTTGATGATATAGATCACTGAAATCCTTTTCACTGTGATCTGTAAAACAATAAGGTAGTGAACATTCCTCTCTCTCTCTATCTTTATATATCTATATATATATATATATATATATATATATATATATTCTTGATTTATGAACTTGATTGTACTTCAGAAAAGAAAGACAATATTAGAATACTTACTCTGAAATTTAACATGCGTTTTTTTTTCCAGGTATGGACCGTCATATTTCGGAACGACCATTCATACTGAGTTATTGTTTGCAGAATCTTTTTTGTGTACGCATGAGTGCCATAATGGCTACACAGAAATAAATCCTCTGCTAAGGTGAAAAGAAAAGCAATTGTAATGTCTTATCAAATTAGAAGAAAAGTATATACTGGCTACTCATAGGGGGCAGAGATGCAATCAAACGTTTATACTTACAATCATACAAGTTTGACATAAATGTGATATTGCAGCTTTGAGTATCGAAGGGAAATTTGTGCACACGCATCTTGCATATAGTCTTCATCACCTGATTAATGCTTACTTCAGTAGTGCCATTGAAAGTAATCTTGAGAAAGGGACTTGTAAGAGCTTTTTCCTTGTCTGTCCTGTGCAAGACAAACATACTTTAGTTACCAAAAGAAGTGTTCAGTTTCAAAGTTACGTATTTGGTAAACAATGAATATTAGTGTCATACATATAGTACAAAGCATCAAAGCAATTGCTGACAATCACATGTGGGCTGAGCCTTCACCAAAAAGATTTGATCTACAACATTTTTTTTAGTGCACTTGGAAATAGAACTGCTATTTAAGTAATATATACATTTATTAAAAATATTATGTATTTAAAATAATTTTTAATATTATTACCTTAAACTGCTTAAACAGCCACTCATCTGCCCAATCTTTCCCTTTTAATTGAGCAAAACTACTTTGGTGTGGGCTATCATTTTAGATTACCCCAAATATGCCCAGTTATTGCAAAAGCATTTTTTTTTTTTGTATTCCAAGGCAAATTAGGGTGTTTAATGGAGTCATTCAAAATTTAGTCCTGAATGTTTTAAATAAAGAAAAACAAATAAAAGTGCCTGACTTCTTTGTTTAAAAATTTGCTGATGACTTAAAGTAGCTGCAGCAGAGGGATTTCCAATCATTCTCATGCTAACAACATTAGCTTTTAACCAGGGACCCCTTTTGTAAGCTAATAATGTTCCAAAATATGTAAAGGGAATTTTTCAAATGTTTTTCTATTTTTATTTCAATTCAATTAGTTAGAGTTGTTTAACATTAGAGTTTCAACAACTTACTATACATTACCACTAAGTTAGAAAGAAACATTTGATGAGAACAGAACAAAATAAATGAAACCTCTCTCAAGTGTGTAGTGGGAGAGCAGGGGTTGATGTCTGTCATTTCTTTAAGCATATTTCTGTCTGCCTGTATGCATGCTCTAAAGCAGATGTGCAGCAGACATCAGCCAATCACGTGACTTCTTTGACTCCTCCTCCTTACAAGAAAAAGCAACCTATATGTAAATTGTTTCAACCAGTTTCAACTCAGCATGGTTGACCTGGATTTTATAGAGCTAGGCAATAGGCTGTATTCAATGTGGTAAGCCAAACAGCTGGTGTCCCTGGCTCCACCTGATCCTCTAGATATGTTTCCAGTCCAGTTCTGGAGCTAAAGAAGAACAGCAGAAGAGAAGAGCAAGAGGCTAGGCACAGAGAGAACCATAGCTGGGCAGACGCGGCAGACTGGTTCCCTCCTGGTTGCTAAATGAGAATAGTTGGAAAGAAGATCAAGAAGCTGTGCAGAATGTGCAGCAGATCTGCTTCAGAGCCGGCTGGCCAGGACTAAAACTCTAAGAGGAGGACTAATATTTAATGATTTAACAGTCCATCTAAGGACTAAATTACAACAATTTATTTTTAAAGCCTCCCACAAGCCTTTCTTATGGATGGACATTGGATATGTCAGCCTCTGCCATGTCTTTGTGCAAAGACAAATAAGCCTCCGCCTCATTGATGACCTACTGAATCAACTTAATTCAAAAATGCTTTATTAATCCCAAAGGAAAATTAAATGATACATCCATCCATCCATTTTCTAACACCCTTATACCAAGTGGGGTCACGAGTGGTGCTGCTGCCTATCTCAGGCAGTCATTGGGCGAGAGGCGGGGTACACCCTGGACAGGTAATTAAATGATACAGAAACTGATAAATAATTCTTTTAAACAGGTGTTGAAGGTGTTGATAGCTGCAAGCAGGAAGGATCTTCTGTAGCTTTCTTTAATAGGATCTTGAGAAGCCTCTTACTGAAGACACTCTGTTGTTGTTTAAAAATCTTCTGAGAAAGATGTCCACTGTTCTCCATAATTTTCTTCACTTTATGAAAAATTCTTCTTTGTGAAATAATCTCCAGAGGTTCTAGAGGAGTTCCTAGAATAGAGCTGGCCTTCTCAATTAGCTTTTTGAGCTTTTTGAAGTCATTAGCTCTAATACTGTTTCCAGTCTTGGACTGGGAAAGATTTTCGGCCCTGGCATTTTTCCATCTACAGTACACCCTCCCCTTTTTTTTGACATTCAGGATCAGATGAATGTTTCAAACCATGTTTCAGTACCATATTTTCACCTGGTACTGAAAGTCAGACATATAGAGAGCTAAAAGGAATGGAGAGAGTACCATCCCCTGTGGTGCTTCTGTGCTGCTGACTACTAGATTAGACAGTTGAATGTTCAGTCTAACAAACTGTGGTCTTTGATCCAAACGATTGTTGATGCCTCCATCTTAATCTTCTGAAGTTTTTCACAAAAAAGTCAGGCTAAATTGTGTTTAATGCACTGGAGAAATTAAAAAGCATCATTCTCACGGTGCGGTCTGCCTTGTCTAAAGGAAAGTGGGTTTGTTGAAGCCTGTATATGATGGCATCATCAACTCCATCTCCACTGCAATAAGCAAACTGCGGGAGGTCCTGATAGCTGCTTATTTGTTTTCAGAGGTGAACCAACAGAAGTCTCTCTAGAAGCTTCATGATATGGGATGTCAGAGTAAACTGCAGGCTCCAGTGGAAAAGGTGACAGAGCAGAGGACTCTGTCCACGACCACCATGGATTATACCATCAACCCTCTGCATGAGGCCTTAGGAGGGAGAAGAACTATATTCAGCAGCATATGGCTGTCCCAGTGCTGCGCCACAGACAAATTGACGGAAGTCTGTTGTTCTTTCTGCAATTAGACTGCACAACCTGGTAAACTTGACTTTTATGAACAATGTATTTTTACTTTTTTCCTTGTATTTCCTTTAAATTGTTTGGTTAACTTTGAGATTTGGAGTCTCTTTTGTAGTGATCGGTGAATGAGACATCTTGAAGCATTTCAACACAATGCCAAAGAGTATTGATACTGTCTTACAGAACACTGGCAACTGCTGGACATTTAAAGACACTACAGGCAGCTTATTTGAAAGACTAGACTGAATTAATTTGATGGCCTAGTACTAGCATAGTAATGATATAATTTAAGTTGTTGTAGGATATATTTTATTATTTTATATTTATATTCAAATTTAAAATATATTTGACATTTTTAGATGCAGCCAATGAATAATGTAAATATATTATAACGTGAAAATTTAGGGGAAAATGTGAATAAGGATGTTTGTGGACTAGGAAACAATAAGTACAGTAAAAACATTAAATAAACTACCGGTAAGAGTCAATTTCGAATTAACTTTACCTCAGATAATTTAAATAACAATGCAACGGCTGAAACAGTCCTATTTCTTTTAAGCTGCTCCAAAGTTCTTGATAACTTTTTAATTCTTGATGAGACATTTTTTTTAGCTGATGCATCATATTGACAGATACGTTTTTAAAACACAGCTTAGTGTGTCAGTCAGTTAGAACCAACTCCTGTATCGGTCACATGACTTTCTTGAAATGGCACACACACAGATACAGTGTTTTGATCTATGGGCTCCATGCATGCACCACATCACTACTCTTTTGCAAGGATGCCCTGGCCAAAGGACCTTCTGGATGAGACTGTGTGAATGAGAGCAATTGAAGTTTGTTTGTCTGTCCGTGCCAAAGTTCTAAAGGGCAGATTATACTTCACTACAAACGTCACCTGGGTCTGGTCGCGAACCAGTTTTGCTGGTATGCTTCTGCACCGTCGGTCTGGAATTTCTAGGGACGCACAACAGTTTCCCGCCAATGCACAAGGGGGAGCCTATTCAAGAACTCGCGAGAACTTCGGCGGCGCCAGCAGGAGTGTATATCTTCCAAAACAACAATGGCGCGTCTGCAAGATATCACAGTCACAGAGTTGGATCTAGAGTTGCTAGACATCAATGAGCATATATTTATTTAAATAATTTGTCTGAGGCATCGTATAAGTGGTTGTACTTCAGGACCTCCTCGATTAACCTTTCGTCGTAGTTGTCCATTGTTCCTCGGTTTTTAGAAATGGCGCACCCCGTCACCGAATTGAGAAGAACGACCACACAGACAGCCGGAAAGGCATACCAAGGACCAATCACAGCTTCTTTTTGTCTGTGCACTTCTGCTTGAGGTATGCGCGGGTTTGCGACCGTCTGACGCTTAGTCAGGATTTTTTTTGAGGTGCGCGATGACGGGTGCAGAACCTCTGCGTAGGGAGGGTGGTCACACAGAGACAGATTTGACGGTTTGACGGTTGCAGAGGCTATGCATCAGAAGCATAAATTGGCCCTTCAGGGTCTCTTCATCTAAACATAACAATTTCACATTCTTTTCACTATGCTGACACTATGCGACTAAGACAGTGGTCATACCAGTCTTTCCCCACTTAACATTAGCAAGGTCTGGTTATTTTTAGGGATGTCCTGGAACAACTTTTTCATTTACGATAACAATAGTCTACAACAATAGATATAAGACAACTCACTGATGTAATATTAATCAATGAGTAATAGTAAGAGACCTGGTACCAGTGTTATCCACTGCCACTGTACCACTGAGCAGTGGGTAACACTGCTGCCTTGCAGCAAGAAGGTTCCGGGTTCGATTCCCGGCCTCGGGTGTTTCTGCATTGAGTTTGCATGTTCTCAGTGTGCATGCATGAGTTCTCTCCAGGTACTCCGGCTTCCTCTCACAGTCCAAAAACATGACTATTATTGTTAATTGGCTTCTCTAAATTCTTCTTAGGTGTTAGAGAACTGTCCAGGGTTTACAGGTGAAGATAGGCACCAGCACCCATCGCGATCCTATGGAGGACTAACTCACGACATATCTAAAAATAATTACAGAAATAAATAAATGCTGGCAGAAATGATGGCAGGCAGAAATGTAAAAAAAAATATAAAGGACAAAAAATAAATAAGGTAAATATTACAAAGACAAATAAATAAAGAAGCTAATTAAAAGAGTTATATACATTTATGTCTCACTGTATAATTGAATTTCTACTTACATTTATTTGTTTATTGTATTTTTGTTGGCAATTAATTGTATGCTTATATATTTATTGAGCATTTCTGTATTTCTGTATTTATTTTTAGATATGGCAGAGTTGGTCCTTCATACAATCCCGCTTGGGATAAGCGTGAGGTAAAATGCATGGATGGACTTGAATGGATGGAGTTACAGAAACTTTAAACAGAAGAGCTGTGCTTTTATCAGCACACCAATATCAGACATTTTTTGATGAGAGCAAATATATTCCGATATTAGTTTTTTGCCCAATATCAGACCGATATACAATATAACTGGGACACTCCCAGTTGTTTTATTTCTAATATCAAGGAACCTTTTTAAGACATTTTGATCTGTTAGGGTCATTCATTCTCATTATGGAGTTGAAGTCTCAAAGGCTTTAACAGTGTATGATTATTTTTGAAACATGTATAAATTGATCTGGGATTGAATGTTGTGGCAGGATCTTACATCTCCGTAATGGTTATGTATGGCTTCCACAAAGCGTCACTTGGAATTACAACTTTGTCAATTCCACAAAAGTTATCTGGAGACCAACTAATAAAGTCATTGGTCCATTTCTGCACAAAAAAGAAAAAGGGCAGAGAAAGACATGGAGATGTAGTTTCTTATTCTGTCTTGGAGGTGGCAGAAAATGTTTTTTTTTAGAGAAAACTTACCATGTTAACTTCAAGATGAGTGACAAAAGTCTGATCAATCTCACTCTGTTAAAACAAAATTGACGAGGAATGTTTCAATAAATAATTTGGATCTTGCTAAAGAATACGTTATTTACAAATATTTATTAAGCATAACAAGCATGATGACAGAGAATAATAAAAACCCCATTCAGTGCCTTTTGGTGGCATTTATCTCAGAACAAATGTCTCTGTGTTTTTCTATAAAATGCTATAAATATGTGCAGTAAAAAAAAAAATGTTTCTAACGAGTACAGCATACGTAACAATATTCACTCCACAGATTTTCAATAGTTGATTCAGTTAGTTTCCTATATTCTGTGTACATTCGGTGTATGTGGATTGTTACACCAAAATCCCATAAAAATTTATGAAATTAATGAAAAAATCCCCCGAAAAATAATGGATTGTAATTATTTTAAATGATCCGCGGAAACCCTGGATCATTTCCGTATGTTTTGCTGCTTTGAATTTAATCATCTCGCGCATGCTCTCTACCATCTCCAAGAGACTCAGAGGGGAGCGGACGAAGCCACAGTGGGGGCTGTAGGCTTTGCTTTGAGCAGCCGGTCTGGAGCGCAGCGGGGCGGAGCGGGGGTTGTTGACGGAGTATGAGGGATTTCGGGGTTAGCATGACATGTTGCTGTTAGCATAAACAAAACATGTTGCACAATGCTTGCACGCTGTTGCACTTTTATCCACAACTTGCTTTCCACCGTCATCGTAGGTCACTCTAAATGCAAAGCGGTCCCATACAGCAGACCTATAAAGTGCTGCTGGCGCGTCTTCCAGCTCCTGTTCTTTCCCACTCGCCATACCCACACAATTCTCAAAACAACAGATTTTTTCCCCTGCTACAGTACACCCGGCTACGCTGCTTCGCTGATTCTTCTTCTTGTTTACTACTGGTGGTTGGCTTTGGTCGCAGTACCGCCACCTTCTG